AGAGAGAGAGGAGGGGGGAGAGGAGAGAGAGGGAGAGAGGAGAGAGAGAGAGGAGAGAGAAGAGAGAGGAGAGAGGAGAGAGAGAGAGGAGAGAGGAGAGAGAGAGGAGGGGGGAGAGGAGAGAGAGGGAGAGAGGAGAGAGAGAGAGAGAAGAGAGAGAGAGAGGAGAGAGGGGAGAGAGGAGAGAAGAGAGAGGAGAGAGGAAGAGCACAGGCAGAAACCTCAAACCACACGGTGGTATTGCAGAGAGATGCCACCCGCTGGGTGAAGCACCAATACAGAAATCCCAGTGCCCAGAACAGAGACCCAGAGACCTCAGCACTCTGGGAGGAGGCAGCGAAAAAGATTCCTAACCAGTCTTAGAGACAGAGGTTGGAGCCCACAACCCACCCTCTCTTGGGAGCCACCCCCTCCTCCTCTGCATCCCTGACCGCGACCCTTTACCTGCTGAGCTTCGGGAGACACTGGCTATGGCTGTTTCAGACACGTACCCGGCAGCTCTGGGTGGGCTTGCGGGGCAGAGATTGTTCTTAAGTTGTTTCGGCCCACACCCTCCTCCTTAACCCCACTCTTCTCGTTCCGCAGTGAGCTTTAATCCCCTCCCATCATCCTGCCATACCTTTCCTGCGGCCCCAGGGCTCACAGCCAGCTGGAAAGGTGCCATGGCAGGTGGCAGTGACTGGGTGCCCTCCTGGGATGGGGCAAAGCTTTCTCCATTTTTTTTTTTTTTTGCCATTCAGGACCTGGGCCTGGTTTTTTAGACATAGAGCTAGAGAAAGACAAGACAGATTGAGTGGGCTAGGCGCGGTGGCTCACGCCTGTAATCCAAGCACTTTGGGGGCCTAGGGGGGACGGATCACCTGAGGTCGAGAGTTCAAGACCAGCCTGACCAACATGGTGAAACTGCATCTATTAAAAAATAAATAAATAAAATAAAAATTAAAAAAAGATAGATTGAGTGGAGAGACAGTTAGATGGACATTGAGAGACAGAGAAGGACATGGAAGGATGGGGAGAAGAAGGGCAAGAGACAGAGAGAGGAAGAGACAGAGCTAGACACAGAGACTGAGGGAGAAGAGAATGACAGAGACAGAAACAGATATGCAAAGACAGTCATCTACCCCCTACTTGACACCTACCCCCTACTTCTTCTTCTTCTTTTTTTTTTTTTTTTTTTTTTTTTTTTTTTTTTTTTTTTTTTTGAGACTGTTTTGCTCCACAGGAGGTGGAGGCTGCAGTGAGCCATGGTCCCACCACTGTACTCAGCCTGGGCAACAGCGTGAGAACCATGTCTAAAAAAAAAAAAGAATTGTGTCAGCTGAACCCATTGAGATGTCTATGGTATTGGCTATTGTTTCTGCTGTTACTTATAAGTTCTCTTTAATTAAGGCATGAACAGATTGAATTTTTTTCCATAAAAATTGATGTGTATGGTATGCACGGGGGGCTTCATCTTCAATGTGGCCTCATCTCTTCAAGATAAGGTCTCACTTTGTCCCCCAGGCTGGAGTGCAGTGGCATAATCACGGCTCACTGCAGCCTCCACCTCCAGGCTCAAGTGATCCTCCCACCTCAGCCTCCTGAGCAGCTGGGACTACAAGTGCGCACCACCACGCCCAGCTAATTTATGTGTATTTTTGTGCAGATGGGGTTTCACCATGTTGCCCAGGCTGGTCTCAGATTCCTGAGCTCCAGTGATCCGCCCCCCTCAGCCTCCCAAAGTGCTGGAATTATAGGCGTGAACCACCACGCCCCGTCTCCTCCCTTCTCAAAACAAGTTATCCATTTGTAAATGGCTGATTTCTCTGGGGCACTGTCAACTTTTTGTAAAACATCAATGATTTTGTCATTCCTCCACCCAAGCCTCACCATCAATTTGGTGCTTGTTCTTGCTTCAATTTTAGAATTCACATTGCTCTGATAAGGGCTCTTTTCAATCCGATGTTTTATTTTAGTGCCTCAAACTAGATCCTGTTCAGATAAGTTATAACAAGTTAGTACGAGTTTATTTTTGTGCAAAAAAATTAAAAAAATTGGACTCCATGCATAGTTTTTTCATAATACACATTTTCTGTGAATTTTTGGAAGAAGCCTCTTTTTCTCTTTTTTTTTGAGATAGAGTCTTGCTCTGTCACCCAGGCTGGAGTGCAGTGGCAAGATCTTGGCTCACTGCAACCTCCGCCTCCTGGGTTCAAGCGATTGTCCTGCCTCAGCCTCCCAAGTATCTGGGAATGCAGCTACAGGTCACAGGAGCAGATTGCAAGGCCTGGAGCTGGGCCAGGGCTCTGGTGCCAGGGGCTAGCCTGGGTGGAGAGCCCCTGAGGTCAAGGGTCTGGGCAGCCAGGTGGAGGTGTGGGTACACCCCAGATTCATGGGTGTGCACCAGGATTGCGGTTCCCGGAGGGGCAGAGGAGGAAGTGGTTGGAGGTCCTGGGGAATTTGACACCCTAGGTCCCACGTATATGGTGGGATGGAGGTGGGGCCCATGCTGTTGTTTCAGTCCTGGAAAGGCTGGTTGGGGCAGGTCCTGGAAGAGGGTTGAAGGGTTGATGATGGGATTATAGAGCTCCAGTTTCCCTTGGCATCTACCCCCTACTTCTAAGGGGAGGGTGCAGTGCTGGATTCACGCCAACCCTGTAAGCAACTTTTCCCTTACCCTAGAACTTGGTTAAGAGGGGCCTCGTGAGGCCGGGTGTGGTAGCTCACGTCTGCAATCCCAGCACTTTGGGAGGCTGAGGCGGGCAGATCACCTGAGGTCAGGAGTTTGAGACCCGCTTGACCAACATGGCGAAGCCCAGTCTCTACTAAAAATATGAAAAAATTAGCTATACATGGTGGTGGATGCCGGTAATCCCACTTACTTGGGAGGCTGAGACAGGAGAATCTCTTGAACTTGGGAGGTGGAGGTTGTACATCTGATTGGGAAAACTGGGATTTATGAGAAGGGCAGTTAGTTAGTTTTGAGATAGGGTCTCACTCTTGTCACCCAGACTGGAGTATAGTGGCATGATCATAGCTCATTGCAGCCTCGATCTCCTGGGCTCGAGGGGTTCTCCTCCTTAGCCTCCCGAATAGCTGGGACTATAGGCGTGCATCACCACACCTGGCTCATTTTTCTTTTCTTTTCTTTTTTTTGAGATGGAGTTTCCCTCTTGTTGTCCACGCTGGAGTGCAATGGCGTGATCTCAGGTCACTGCAACCTCCGCCTCCTGGGTTCAAGCGATTCTCCTGCCTCAGCCTCCCAAGTAGTGGGATTACAGACATGTGCCACCGTACCCAGCTAATTTTTTGTATTCTCGGTAGTGATGGGATTTCATCATGTTGGCCAGGATGGTCTCGATCTCTTGATCTCATGATCCACCAGCCTCGGCCCCCCAAAGTGCTGGGATTGCAGACGTGAGCTACCGCACCGGCTGGTGTGAGCTACCGCTCGGGCTGAATTCCTTGCTTTCTCATTGCCCTCTCTTGAGACGCACCCCCCCCCCAGTCCCACCCTATTCCTATCCTTTCCCCCTGCCCCCTCAAACTCCAAGACCCTTTTCCTTCACCTCAGTCTTTGTGGATGATCCCGATTCTTATTTCACGGAGAGAACGGCAGCAGTGGGCAGCGAGCGGGCGCATCCTCCAACATCCTGTCCTTCTGCCCACTGGCATCTGGACTGCACATGCAGCCTTCCCTCCTGCTAGAACCGCACACTGTGCCACATCGGGCTTAGGTCAGCCCCGCTCTGGTGTGCCGGATCCCACTCCATTGCCAGCTGGAGGACTTGATTTCTCTTTACTGTGTCATAGTTCATGTGAGCTTGTGTAGTTGGAATTTTCCCTTAACAATTTCTTTTCTTTCTTTTTTTTTTTTTTTGAGACAGAGTGTCGCTTTGCCGCCCACGGTGGAGTGCAGTGGCATGACCTCGGTTCACCGTATCCTCCGTCTTCCGGGTTCAAGCAACGATTCTCCTGCCTCAGCCTCCTGAGTAGCTGGGATTACAGGCGTGCGCCACCACGCCCAGCTAATTTTTGTATTTTTAGTAGAGACAGAGTTTCACCATGTTGACCAGGCGGGTCTCAAACTCCTGACCTTGTGATCTGCCTGCCTCGGCTCCCAAAGTGCTGGGATTACAGGCGTGAGCCACTGCGTCCGGCAGACAATTTCCTTAGGTAAAATGTACATGTGATGAAATACACACATTGTAAGTGAACATTTGCTGAATTTTGCATGCATCCAAATCCCTGTGAAGATAGAGAGTATTTTCATCATCCCAGAAAGTTGTCTTGGAGCTGGGCATGGTGGTTTGTGCCTGTAATTCTAGGTATAAGAGGCTGGGCGGGAGGATCACTTGAGGCCAGAAATTTGAGACCTGGATGTGCAACACTGCAAGACCCCTGTCTCTACTAAAAAAAGAAAAAACTTAGCCAAGTGTGGTGGTGCATGCTTGTAATCCTACCTACTCAAGAGGCTGAGGTGGAGCATCACTTGTGCCCAGGATTTCCAGGCTGCAGTGAGCTATGACCACACCACTGCACTCAAGCCTGGGTGACAGAGACCCTCTAAAATAATAATTATTTTAGACCCTCTAAAATAATAATAAAAAAGAGAGAGAGAGAAAGCTCTTTCATACTCCTTCGTAGTCAACCATGCTCTGTCTACCATGGGCAACCATTATTCTAGTCTTTTTTTTTTTCCTCTTCTTCTTCTTTTTAGACAGGGCCTTGCTCTGTCCCCCAGGCTGGAGTGCAGTGGTGTGATCACTGGTCACTGTAACCTTGGCCTCCCTGGCTGAAGCGATCCTCCTGCCTCAGCCTCCCGAGTACCTGGAAGTACAGGCATGTGCCACCACAACTGACTATTTTTTAAAACTTTTTGTAGAGGCAGAGGTCTCCTTATGTTGCCCAGGCTGATCTCAAACTCCTGTGCTGAAGCAGTTGTTCTGCCTTAGCCTCCCAAAGTTCTGGGACTACAGGCTTGAGCCACTGCGTCCAGTCCTGTTCTAGTTTTTTTCCTTCCCACTATTGATCAGCATTTCATATAAATGAAAATATACGGCTGAGTGAGGTGGCTCAGCTGAGGTCAGGAGTACTAATCCTAGTACTTTGGGAGGCTGAGGCGGGTGGATCAACTGAGGTCAGGAATTCAAGACCAGCAAAATGGTGAAACCCCATCTCTATTAAAAATACAAAAGTTAAGGCCGGGCGCGGTGGCTCAAGCCTGTAATCCCAGCACTTTGGGAGGCCGAGGCGGGTGGATCACGAGGTCAAGAGATCAAGACCATCCTGGTCAACATGGTGAAACCCCG